CTTATATTATTATGGCCTTTAATTAATTGTATTTTTCATGTCTTAATTTATTATTTCATAAAATCTAAATCTAAAACCTATGCTAAACTATAAGCCTTCCTTTTGCCTATAAACCATCAAAAATAAATATATATAAGGAAACATTTTTTGAGTTGAACTTGTGATCAAATTCCATGGAGCTTTTCTTATCAAATCACGAAGACAATGAAATTAATATTAAATTATATCTCTTATTCTGAAACTCTAAATGTAAAAACTATAAATACTCTTGATCCTATTATCAAAAATATGTTATCTTTAAATTATAGATATTTTATAGATTCAGCTAAAAAATCTTCTCCACATAAATTCTTAAGTGCTTATAAAAATCCAATTGAAATAAAATTTCATATAAGAATTACTATAGTTGAAGAAACTAAGGCATAGCTTTATCAATTTACATATTTATATAAGATAAAAAGTGAGAAACCCAAGGATATATCATTAAAGGTATTCATTATATTCTCTCAAAATGGTATCACTGTATTTATAGTCACATTGTAAAGTTAAAACAAGAAAATTATGTTAATTATAGAGGTAATTCGAGAAATGAAAAAAGTGAAACTCACATAAGAAGTACACGAACACGAGATACTAATTGTCCAGTAACACTGAGCATCCAGCTACTCAAAAAAGTTAATCCCTATCCACGTATTGTTTCTTTGCTTTTTCATCATAACCATCCCCTTAAATAAAGTCACATTACAAGTTTCGTCTAGTATTTAATGAAATGAAGAATGCACTTTTCAAGTTTTTTGATACCAGGTATAGCCCTAATAGTACGTACTATACATGTGTTTATATTTTATTCAGACATTTTTCAAAAACTGTATTATGTTCATATTACTAAGTAACAATTAGTAAGTAATTGGAAATTGTATTTAATTCAGAATTATATTGTCGATCAAATTTTTTTTTTTAGTAATAAGAAAATATGTATAGTGTGTATTATATTTACAAGGAACAACAGTAGCTAAAATACGAAAATGATGAAGAAATATTAGCTAATAGAACATATATTTCCATTGTTAGCACCAAAATTGTAGTAGGAGGCATGACGTGACATGTGGGGTCCAGCGCGGTACCGCATGGGACATCAATTATACATGATCGATAGGCACAAAGCTTGTCAAAGTTTAGTACTTTTGCATAACGCGATGATAGATTTAGAGACACGTTATAGTCATATAAATAGCAATAATGTTCAGATGTAAAAGAAAAAGAGAATCAATTAATAAAATATTGATTTTTCAAAATCTAATTGCTTGTACCAGTACAACAATAATTAATAAACTTACCTTATTTGTCATTTAGTCATCCTAGAAAGGATCTGCCACCCTATAGCTTGACAGGGGAGATTAGAAGAGGAGACTAATTAAACCTAGAGAAAGATTAAGATAATTATCACCACATATACCTTTGGTATCACCAGAAACATAGACCCACTCACCTAATGTAGCACGAGTCTTGGCCCAGAGTAGCGACAGACTTGCTGTTAAGGATAACACCATATAAAATAGATATTAAATATCTTTATAAAAAATATTGTGATAAATATATCAGTGTCCAAAATGAAAGAGACATGTTTAAGCAGTTGAAAAAAAAGATTATGAAATTTAATGCTAATGAAAAAGAGGATGTATGGATGCAAACATATATTACTTCTAGAGAAAATGATCATGAAAAATTATTTATCCTCATTATTGGGACAAATCTCATAAAACACTATTATATGTTACAAGAGGCAGGTAAATTGGTCTATATGGATACAACGGCCAGACTTGATATTCTAAATACTCCTTTAACAATTCTTTCTACTAACACACCTGTTGGTAGTCTGCCTCTTGCTGTTATTTTCACATCTGATGAAATGGCAAATACTTTTACAGAAGCATTAGACACATTAAAGCATGTAATTCTATCAACTGTATATGGTGGGCACAGATCTATAGTTGAATCACAAGTGATTATGACTGATAATTACAATGCAGAAAAAATAGCACTTCACAATACCTGGAACACAACATTGCTCCTATATGTCTTCCATTTTTGCAAGCAATATGAAGATGGCTTTGGGATAGCAAACATAAAATTCATAGTAGCGATTATAAAATACTAATGGAGTTCATGAAGAAAATAGTTTTTTCAAAATCTGAAGTTGTACTTGATAAAGCATATATGAATCTAACTACGAGTCAAGTTTATACAATATATTCAAAGTTTCAAGACCATTTTAAAATTTCTTGGAGCCATTTCGTCAGCAGCTACCAATTCGTAATAATAATATTAATAACTTTGCTAAAGCCAGAATTCAAATCTTAAAAGATATTATCTTTAAACGAGTGCAAGCATATAATATAATATAGATTTTTCGGTTTATTGTTAACTCAATGAATCTCTATTACATTCGTGGATTACTAACAGTAGCTCACAATAAACTAAACAGCTTTATCGTATTTTGCTTTCAACTTTCCAGATGGCCTATTGGAGAAAAAGATGATATAAAAACTGAAGACCTAGATTCAATGGTGTTTAGATATAGAAGTATTAAAAATCAAAACATATAGTATCCCGTAGATATGCAACTTGAAATATGCAAATATAGTCCAATGTGAATGTCATGTAAGTATCAAGCTTCTGTGGTGAAACATTTCAAGATTTGTGGATTAAACCAAATACTTACAATGTTTGCAAAAAAGTGATATTATTATGCTTACCTAACATTGGGTGAAAAGCATAAATATCTTGGTTTTTATGCAAACCTTCATCAGGAACAGATTGAAAAAGAGTATACAGATATAATGGTGGATAAGAAGATAGAAAAAATCGATATTTTGGTTGATATAATTAATAAAGATTATAACAATGATTCTGGTAGTTCTAATAACAAAGATATACTATTACTTGGATTCTACTTAGCATCTTCAAATAGTATTGATAGTAGTGACAGTAACAAAAGTGACAGTGAAGATAGTGAAAATAGTAATGATAATAATGGCGACAGCATTATAAATGAACTTTGTTGGTTCTGTAATAATTTAGAGAATCTCTTAAAACAACACGATCCTGTATTAAACAATAGTGTTCACAAGTTTGTTAAATTATACAAGTGGCATAGACTTATAAAGGATACTTACGTTCATCCAGCAGTAACTTCTTTTCTTCAAACTTGTGATGGGAATATAGGTTGGGTTAATAGTAATGGTTGAAGGTATAGTGGAAAGAGAATATGAATTCAAGTTACTGCTGCCTCAAGACGTAGAGAAACTTTAAGTCGTGGACTCAAAAAAATACGTCAAGGAAGATTCAAGAAAGAATTGGATGAATCTATTATGCAGGCACGAAATAGATGTAAAAAAATATCCACATAATTTAAACCAAGCTTTATTAAAACTATGAACTAATGGTATATAATATAGCATCTTTTTTTTTTTTAACTACATTGTAATGAAGCTTTTTTAATAAATGTTAAAGTCAAATTTGGGTAACAGTTACACATCAGATGGATGTTACATTAATCTTAAATCCCGTGATCATCAACTCATGATTCAAACTGGGCACAGATTCTCTTTTCGCATTTTTTTTATTGTACTTAATGTAGTTTAGAGATAGAAATGAATAGAATATATTTGTTGTGTTTTATAAGGTTTAAAGGCTAAAGCTTATAAAGGTGATATCATTTATATAAATGAGGATTTTGAATGTCTGAAATGACATTCCTAAGATTTTAGAAACCATAGGGTTATAAAATATGGTCCAAAGTAATAATGCTAAATAAAGATAGGTTCTTAAATTAAAGGAAAAAATATACTGTAATTAAAATGATCTAACTGTTGAGTAAGCCATTTTCAGGCAATGACCTTAAAACTTCTTTATCATGACAATATTTGAATAATAATAATTGTTACATTTCAACCAATAAAAGGGCACAAGATATTACGAAATTAAGTACATTGAAATCTTTAAATGTTTTACTATCTTTGAGCAAAAATCGTGCGAAAGTTTCATCCAAATCGGAAAGAAAATCTCATCCATGACATGTGGATGAGTAGCACCTTGTCGATTGATGCGATAATTAAAGTAATGCATTCTCTTTCGTACACACATACTGTATTATGTAATTGGTTTTCATGTTGGACGGCATTTTTTGTTGCCCTTTTCATATGTTTAGACACATTGTTTCAAACGTTATTGATGTTGATCAGCAGTATCATTTTTTCTGTTTTTACGTTTTCGATGGGTATCATTAAGGGCTAGCCATTAATTATGCAAAGGCAAAAACACATTAAATAAATAAATTTTTTAATTTTAATTTTTAAAAAGTTTAATTACATCACGATAGAGAAAAATTAGTGATTAATTTAAATTTAAGTGAAAATTTCGTGATAATTTAAAGACAAACAAAATAAATGTTACGATAGTTTAAGGGCAATCAGAAAGTTACATCGTGATAATTTTAAGGACAATCAGAACGAGCATGTCATGATAATTTAAGAGAAGCCTGAACGGGTCATGTTACAGGCAATCAGAATGCGTCACGTCACGGTAATTATATAGCCTAAAAAAGAAAGCATATTATTGGCATCAATTGTGTCTAACCAAAGATGTCCTTCGGACAAATTGCTAATTTTAACTTAATATTTTTTTTTATTATTTAACAACAATAATATATAATTTTTTAATAAAATAAGTATATTATAAACGCATAAGTGACCTATTACCGTATATGCAGCTATCATATGCGTCATCGGTACAGTATTACTTGCTAACTTGCAATCAACACATAACTTCCCATAATGCTTCAAAGCTTTTGTTCTTTATTCTTTGACCTTTAATCAGTTGCCTGAATTTTTTCTCATACAATCAACTAGCAGCCATTTAAATATTGCGAGAATATCAAAGACATTCTATATAATAAAAACAGGCATATTAAAATAATAATTAATTATTCTTCCGTTTTGTCAATTTTCCGATTGTTCTGTTTGGAATGTCGGCTTTGGATATGCGTACGCATGGGCTTTTCTTTCCGCTTCTACCGAATACTTTAGACTCAATTCCTTGTCCTGCGGAATATACTTTCCCTTATTGTAATAGTTTGCCACTTTGAACATTGCAAATGTATTTCCATTATCAGCTGCTTTCAGGTAATATTTAAATGCCAATTTTCTATCCTTTGCGACACCATCACCATTATACAGGCAATTTCCGTATTGAAACTGTGCAGCTCTGTTCTGTGGGCAAAGAGAATCGGCAACTTCTTTGAATAATTGCGCAGCACGCGTGTAACGATCATTTCTCATTGATTCTGTTTCTAATATTTGATCCATTGGCGTGGGATAATTATGATATAAATAAAACCCAACCCAGTATTTTGCGATCATATTTCCATTATCTGCATGTTCTTGGAAAAGTTTCCATGCAAGTTTTTTGTTTCCATGTTCTGACATATGTTCCTTCAAGGCATCTTCAACAGTTTTAACATTGCTAATATCACCTTCTTCAGAGTCTTCTACAAGGGGCCTAGAAATGTTAAAATTAATGTTAGAGCTGCCTTCTGACGAGATACTGTTTGTGTAGTGTTCATAAAGTTTCTCTAAACTAATGAAGAGATCGGTAAAATTAGGGCGATCTTTTGGATTCGTTTGAACAGCTATTTAGGGAATAGAGGTTAACAGATTGTTAAGCTTCCGAAATTCAAATTGTTACTAACTTTTACGTGTTAATTCTTGATATTTCAAAGGGACATTTGCTTGATCACTGAATTGAGCACGATTTTCTTCGTTTTGAGCTCTATCTCGAATGGCTACTATATCGCTTTCTATATCGTAATACGGCATATTTAACTCAGCAATTTCCCAGAGAAGCATCCCGAAACTAGGTAGAATACAATGTTGATTAATCTCTGAGCGCTATATTAAATGTGTTTAGCAGATAAATAAGTTTATCAGTGTTATCAAACAATACCTATAAACTTCGCACTTGTAATTATAAGCAACATTGTTTTTTCG